GGAATTGGGAGGCTTTGGTCAAGTGCAAGGTTCCCCACATGTGACACTGGGCCAACCCCTTCCTTTTCCATACCTGTATTTCCTCATTCCTAAGACGAGGCAACAGGACTTTAGGGATGGTTTTAGTACTCCAGAGTGGAGTGGTTTCTTCATTCACCAACACACAGCCCTATTTAATTTTCTTGAGCACTTATCATTAACATGCTGTCTGGTTTATTTGTCATTTGTTGCTCATATCCCACATCTGACTGTAAGATCCAAGACAGCAGGAACAGTCCCTATCTTGCTCTTGTATCTCCTGAGCCTAGAGCAATGCCTGACATGCAGCAGATGATCAATAAATTCCTGCTGAGTGCACGCATGAACCTGTTCCATGAATTATTACCTCACATGTAATGGAGCAGTCTGGCTACAATGGTGGAGTGGTCTCTCTAGCCCACCCATTCCTACCAGTTAGTTTGTTCTTTTCAAAACAAAAAAATATCTCGCCTTTTTAGTATTGGGCTGTACCTTCACTAACCCCGAAACCTGACAGAAATGACAAAAGGGGTGTTACCTCCAGTGGATAAGAGAAGTAAAACAAACAAACAAAAATTTTTAGTTTTAAATGATGGAAAGTAGATGCAAGAGCCATATCTAAGCTGGTAGAATGGAGAAGACGAGATGCAGGTTCCTGCCAGAGAGCTCTGCACAGCCTTCCCACAGGCACAGGTGACACTGAGGATGGGTTTCTATTTGGGGGATAAAATCAGAAGATGGATTGGGAGTCTGAGAAGACACCAAGACCTCTCCTCAATCCTGTGCACTTTTTTCTGAAACACTGAAATTCAATGAAGGCCTACATATGGAATGGGGAGATGGCTGCCACCCCGTTGTCTCACAGGTCCCAGAACACCAGCAGCCACATATAAATACCTTAGGCACATTTGGCAATTACTCCTTGGAAAAGATGTACAGATACTCAGATACTGACATTTGGAGGTTGCTCCCCACCCAACCCTCTGGTGCCCTCCTGGTCACAGGCGGCATGCAGTGAGGTTTCCAGCCAATGAACCACCCCCCCACCCGTAGGAGGAAGAGCCAGGCAGCCTTCATGCCTCACACAGCTGGAGAACCTTCAGCTGCAGAGCACCATACTTTTCAGAGAAGTCTCTCTAACAGTTCAAAATAGGTCAGCAAGAAGGTCTGGGAACTCAGAGGAAGCCAAATGCAAGCAGGACAGTAAAAGTTCAACAATACTGTACTATCCCCTCCTTAGAGAGTTGAGAGAAGATACTACACTCGTGAAAAAACAACACGCTGCTACAGAGAGGAAAAAATGACAGAATGAGAAAAAGCTCTTAGAAATTAAGGATATTAAGCTTGACATGGAACATTTCATAGATAATGTCAAAGAAAATGGTCAGAAGCTAGAACAAGAACACCAAGAGAGGAAATAAGAGAGAAAATAGAAGAAAATTAGAGAATCGATCTAACAAGTTCCTGACAGACAGAATGGAGAGGAATAACTTGTCAGGAAAAATTCCCAGAATTGAAGGGCAAGAATTGCTAAATGGATATGATGCTCTAAGTGGATGGTATAATGAATTTTAAAAGACCCATTCTAAAGCACGGTATTAGCACATACTTTTAGAAAAAGAACATTCTAAAAGCTGAGAGAGAGAGAGAGAGAGAGAGGCGGGGGGAGATCATTTTAAAAAACCAATAAATCAAGAATCAATGACTGCAGGCTTCAATACCAACATTAGGACATAAAGGAAGTGAAGCAATTCTTTCTAAATTCTCGGTGAGAATTATTTCCCACCTGGGGTTCTATACTCAGAGAAATTATCAGTTGAGAGTGAGAATACATCAAAGTCATTTTCAGACCTTCAAAGTCTCAAAAGCCTCAAAAGCATTCAATAAGCATTAACTATTAGGACTAATATGTGTTATCTTCTCAATTTTTCCCTCTTTGTTCTCTTTTCTCTTCTTCTCTTAATACAATATATATTTGATAGATACCAATTAAAATTGATCCTTTCACTTTAAAAATAGAAATTAATAGGTTGAAGAAATGCCTCACCAAAATAGTTTTTGATTTTAGCAAAGCATTCATCTGAACTTTGCATGAAAACTTTTTAGCCAAAACAATGAAATGTGGATTGAGATGATGGTATTGGATTCATGGCACATTCATGGCCTACTAGAAGGTCACATAATCCAATCCCCTTGGCTTTACAGATGAAAAAAATGAAACTCCAAAGAGGAGCAGGCTTATCTAAGGAAGACTGTGTTTGGAAGGCAGTATGTAATAAATATTTATTGAATGAATTAGTGAATTAGTAATTTAGTAAATTGAAGATTATCCAACACTCTTAACTTGTTAGTGGAAAAACTAAGGACCCTAAGTTAGTTGGTAGTGCACCAAGGACCAGACTCAGGTTTTTAAAATCTAGGCTCAGAACACTTTTCTGCAAACTTTCCAGGTTAATGACTATCAGGCTAAGAGAACGTCCATGCTAACATCTATGGTATTTCTGCATGGACTGAGTGATGTTCCATGTTGTCATGGAGACCACTGTGCTCTCTGGTGTATGGACCGGTGACTCTGTGGACAGAGCTTTCCAGATCTTGCTGGACACAGCTGCAGAGGACACAAAGCTGGGAGAGCAGCAAAGATCACAGACAACAGAAACCCAGAAGCTGTCCTGGGTCTTTGTGAGTTTCTAACCTACCTTCCTACTCCACACAGGGCTCTTTCCAAAATATCTAAGTCTCTGCTTTATGAAGCTGTCCCTTCCTGCTGGAGAGCTGTAATATTAAGAATGTTTCTGTGTTTGGAATTTCCATCCACTGTTCTTAGTGTGCCCTCCACTAAGGGTCCTGGAGGAGGGATCATTCCTTCTTCCCCAGAGCTTCACACATGTGCATGCTAGAAACGAATTCCTTAAGTTCTCCCTTTTCCAAAATATTCCTTGAATTGGCTCTCAAAGGAACAATTTCCATTATCACCATCATGTTTTTCTATTTTTCTGGATACACATATTACTATCCTCCTAATGGGGACACCTAGAACGGAACTGGATGGCCCAGGGCAGGCCCAGCGGGCACTCACTTCCCTGTCTGAACACTATGCTTCTCTCACAGTGGCCTGGGAGACGTGTAGTCAAGTAGCGCCGTGAGCTTCTGCTGAGCACTGAAAACCCCACTGAATACCACCCTCTCATTTACAGGGGCTCCTCAAGCCAGCTCCTCTCCTTTCTGTCCTCCTACTGAGGCTTTTAACTCATAGAATCTTTTATTGATCATTGTTCAATTAAATTTTCTAGCTAAGGCACAGGGTTCTTGTTGTCTCATCTATCACAATGGTGATTCCTTCTAGCTGTGTGTCACCTGCAAACTTCAGGGGAGAGAGAGAGAGAGAGAGAGAGAGAGAGAGGGAGAGAGAGAATGAATGAATATGAGAATGAGGCAAAATCAAGGACAGGGCAATGAACTTGGGCCTCTGAAACACTGGTAGAGGTATCTGTCCTGCTGAGAGGGAGGCCTCTCCCACCTGCCTTGAGCTCTCCCAAGACTGAGCAGGAAGGCACTCCCCAGGACAAAGAGCCCATGGGAATATCTCTGAAAACCTCAGCTGACCTGCAGAAGAGGGAAGAGAGGTGGCTGGGAAAACCTCAGGTTACAGAGAGAAAGATGAGATGTTGCGGGCTCCTCTAAATGGCCTCCCGGCATTCCTTGGAACTGTCCACTGTGTGGATTGTACAACACCGGATAGTTTAGCTTCAGAGGGAACCAGGCCAAAGAGCAGAGACAATTATTTTTCCAAAGTGCAAAATGTTATCAAACCTCAATTATTCAGATGTGGGTCACCATTTTCTATTTTGTGAGTTACTGGATCTGGAGCCAGATGGCTTAGGTTTGAGTCTGTCTCCATTGTTACTATCTATGTAACCTTCTCTTTGGCTCATTTTCTTATCCGTAAAATAGGTATGGTATTGATTCCTACCAGACAGAGTCATTGTGAGGACTGCACAAATTAACAGGGAAACCCAGACACGTAACGTGCCCTTCAAGCATCACTAGTGTTTCTCTAGTCATCCTGACTTGGCACGTGACTGAACATGTTTTTCTGCCATAATACCTTGTGTCCAAGGAATAGACATGCATTTCCAAAGTGCTATCAATGATATAGAAGATTTGGCAGACTGGATGAAAAAAATTAAAAGCAATCACATTCCTAATCCTTAGGTTAAAAGGTTTTGGTGTGATTTATGCTACAATTTCCTTTTGTAGGACCAAGGATGTGACCTCCTTCTCTTCTTCCATCAGGCTTTCTACAGAAACAACAGAATGGACTCAGGCTAGGAAGAGAATACTTGGAACTGACTGCCAAATCAGGGTGGACAACACATTCACACTGCAGTCAGGGTAGAGGTCAAGGTATACAATCCACATAGGAACTTGGCAAAGAGATCCCTGGAAAGAGGCCAAGCGCCTTCAGGGCTGATCAGGAAACCCCAGTCAGTCTAATTGTTAGGTAATCCGAGCACTGTCAGCACCACAGCTGGGAAGAAAGCACAGGCCAGTTCAGGGGTGTGTAACTGAGGACGTGAGAAAGAACCAGTCTCAGTAAGGCTTTTGCAAAGTCATGCTCGGGAGGAGCAGCTACTTTAAGTGGCTTTGCTTCAGAAAGCAAACACCTCTAGTTACTGCCACCTGGGCTGGACAAAATGTAGTGGACATCTGTTGATTTCTCAACTTCAGAGTAAGAGTCATTAACTTGTATAGCCCTTTGTGGTTTATGAACTCTCACAGATGTTATTTGATCCTCCAGGATTCCAGAAGGTTGTCATTATCTAATTTTATAGATGAGGAAACTGAGGCCCCAAGAGGTGAGTGATTTGCTGGGGATCATACAAAGGCAAACTGCAGAGACAGGTCTTCAAGTCTTGAGAATCCAGTTCCCTCATCCATGGGCCTACTCCCTCCTTCACAGCCAGCCACTGTCCCTGGCATGGGCACAGGGCAGGCAGGCCCACACAGTGATGTCCCACCCTGCCCACACTTCCAGTCTTTTGGGAAACATGCATCTGGCAAGTGTGCTGAGTGTGAGAACAGGAGGTGCTGGCCCAGAGAGAAGGAACGGCATCTCTCAGAAAGTGATTTGCCTCACCCACTGGGCCAGAGGATCCAGTTGTCCTGTCTCCTCAAAACTGTTTGTGTTACCGGCTTCTGGGCTCTCTCTTGCCTGAGATAGGTGATAAAATCTTTACTCCTGCTTAGCTACGAGCCAGAGGGAAACAGGAGCACCCACCTCTTTCCTGTGCCAGCCGATCTGCTCAGCCTCATCCCCATCAGGCCATCTCCAGTCCTGTGGTTGAAAGGAGACAGGTGCCCAGCAGCCACCAGCAGAGACAGCAACACATGAAAGGGCTCCCAGTGACTCCCTTAAACGCTGTCCAGTTTTTGCCCTCCCTGAATTAGTGTTAGGATTTCCCTTTATCCTTGATCCTATCCTCTGGTGAAGATGGCCTTTATCTATGGCCCCATGCTTGTACTTGTTCGCCTAACCCACTTACTAGGTAAGTCCTGATGAGATTGTCTGCTTTTATCTGCTGTTGTTGGTTGCTTTTGCTTTTGCCCTGGACTGATTGCTACCCCGTGCCATGTCTGGCTCATGACATCATGCTTTCTTATCACTACTTCTCTCCTGACCCTGCCCTGCCTGGTTACCTCTGTAAAGACATGCCCTCTGGGCACCATTTGCTACTGCTTCCTTGACTGCCTGTGTGGTTTATGATTCAACTCCATCTTAATTTCTTATCTTTTCTATTCAAACCTGCTCTCTAGGGACAAGAAGTGCAAAGGCACAGTTTGGCCACTAGAGGGAAGCAGTGGCTAGGATTTATCTAAGGAATTGTGAGTTGCTTAACAGCAAGCTGGCTCCATAGAGATTGATGCTGTCCAGGTCAGAGACCTGCAGGCTATGTGGGAACACAAGACACACCGCTGCATAGAGTAAGTGGTGTATCATAGGTGCTCATATGTTTTCCTGAAAGGATTTCCTCATTTTGAAAATGAGAAACCAAAAACCAGGGCAAAATGTTGTCATTTGAGATTCATTTTTCTCTATCCCTTATATGGGATCTGTTGCTCAGCACTGTCAAATTATTTAAAATCTTTCCCTTGCTTTTTGGACAGCCCCCCATGCTAACCCAGGCCCTCATCTCCCACCTGCTTCTCTGAAGGTGTCTCCTTTTCAGTCACTCTCCACCCTCATCAGAACACTCTCATTTCAGAATTTTATTAACTCTGCCATGTCTGCCCCTTCAAGCCCTACCAGCCTCATCTTGGTATTCCAGGCTCTTCAGGATACTCCCCACTCAACTTCCTACACTTGTCCATATTTTTCCTCTGCCTGGTCTCTGGATGCTGTCCCAAATGTGTCCTATCATTTCGGCCTCTGAACTTGTGGATAGATGACATTACAATTAAAATAGTTTTTACACCTGTTGAGGTCAAGTACCCACATCTCTATTCCTTGACAGAGGTCTCTACAGGAGATTTCCCTCTCCTGGAACATCTCAGTCCATCCTGTAGATTTTAACAATTAAGTATGAGAAGGACAAATCCCATATTTTAGATTTTAGCTGGGGATGTAAAGTATTTGCCAAGCCTGTGTGAGACCCTGGATTCAATTCCCACTACTGAAAACAAAAAGTAGATGACTTGTGCATGTGTGTCCTCTTCTGTGGCACTGCTTCCTTCAGCAATGGGGCATTCTAGAGCTCCGAGTCTTATGTCAGTCAAAAGGACTGTGAGCACATGTACCATGCCACAGCATTTCCTAAGAAATGAAGGGGTCTTAGTATTTCTACACAATTCTTGACATCTTGGGTTTTTTCCTCCTATCAAATGTATGTCAATATTTCTTTTCCACAAACCATGTTTCAGTTGGTGGTTATGAGGCAGGGGTGGCTGAGAGAACTGGGCAAGCTGGGAGCTCATTGAAGATAGCCTGGTGCTAGAGAGCCTGGGTTTTGAACTCAGCAACCCTGAGTTTTAATCCAACTCCTACCACTGGCTGTTGATGTTACCTTGGAAACATCAGAGTATGCAGTCTCTCACTAGGCTTTGACTCCTTGTCCAAAATATTGGGACAAGTACCAAGTTCATAGGGTTGCTATTTCAATTAAAGGTTATAATGCACGTGAACACTTGATACATGTGAATGGCTGCTGGTGTTACTATTTGGTGAGTGAGTGAGTCACTGAGGCTACATGGAATAGTTTCTTCTTCTTTCCCTTTTCTTTCATGTGTGTGTGTATGTGTGTGTGTGTGAGAGAGAGAGAGAGAAAAATACTGGGAATTGAACCCAGGGGTGCTCTACTACTGAGCCACATCCCCAGTCTTCTTATAATATTTTAATTTGAGACAGGGTCTTGCTAAGTTTCTGAGGCTGGCCTAGAACTTGTAATCCTCCCACCTCAGCTTTCCAATACCTGGAATTACAGGTGTGTGTCACCATGCCTGGCTGGGGAACTCCCTTCTACACCATCCTGACCCTATGTTCTGCTGAATAATTCAGTAGTGCTGAGCAGTGAGAGTTCAGAAGGATTGGACAGTTTTGTTTTCCTTCAAATTTTTCTTCCAAAGTTGCAGGAGATGGGGCTAGATATTATGAAATAAATTTAAACTAGAGGTCCAAATTAGAATGTGTGGGCCAGTTGTAAGATTTAAAATCATGGCAAAGTGCTAAATTGACAATGTAGATTCTCCAGGAACTGGGGACAGAGGGGAATTTTATTCTCCTTTAATGCAAACCAATCATACTAGATATAGATAGAGTGTAGGAGACAGTTTCAGAGAAAGTAGAGAAAAACTGCTTGAAACATTTTTTAAAATGTTATAATTTTTCCTGTGTTATAATTTTTCTAGCTCCTCCACTTAGGAGTGTAGGAGCTAGAAAGGCCAGTTTAACTTGAAGCATGTCCTGGACAGAATTTTAAGGAAGTGAATGAGGACCTGGGGATGGAAGCCTCCGGCCCTGGGGGGCACCCAGCTCCAGCTGCATGTTCCTGATGGCAACATTTAGGTGGAAAGGAGATTTATATCCTTAGGAAAAGACAGAAATGGGTGGCCCTTGGGGAAATTATAGAAAACCTGGGAACTGCCCCTGGGATCACTCTAGAAGCATGAGTTCTTAGTTATGAAGATGGCCACTGGCATCCACCTCAGAATGTGTGTAGTATTACTTCAGAGGAAAAGGAATAAAAAGGAGCCCCAACTGAGCTGAAATGGCCTACAAGTGGGACAGCACATGTACCACTGAATCACCACAGGGCCGCATTGAGACTTCAGAATCCCTCCCCACCTTCCCGCACTGTGCTCCAATCAGAGACGCCCTTCCCAGTGCTCCTACCACCCTTCTGGAAGGTCTTTGGTTTCTGAAAGGAAGAGATAACTTAGGTCATTTTTCTCCTTTAAGGCTGACCTCAAGTTCTGCATTCCTTCATTCCACAGGTCTGTATGAAACCCTCTACCTCTGGATTCCATCAGGATTGATGCAATCCCCAGATGCCGGCCCCGAGCCACACCTTTGTCCTGTGTATTTGGGCAAGGATGTCTACATTTTCACAGCTCCCTCTCATAGTCAAGATCCTCCTCAACTGCACTCTCACCAGCCTCTTCCTCCTGCCAGTAGAGAGGCTTCTTTGGGCTCTGAGACCTACAGGGGATCCTTCCTAGACAGCCCCTTAGCTCCTTTCAGCTATATCTATGATTGGGAGCTTTTGACTCTAGGACCATCCCCTACAGCCAAGGTAGGAGAATTCCAGAGAAGGAGCCTTCTGATTTTACGCCCTCCCATCCACAACTTCCACACCATCACTCTTCTTTCTATATTGAACCCTGTCTCAGTCTATTTCTATAAGTGAAGCCATTGTTTAAATCACCACTGCCTTTCAGTGGCTATGCACTTTGACAAGATAACAAAGAGTTGTCAATGAAAAGCACAATAATAGTGGTTATCTTGTTTGGAACATGGCATTAAATCTTCAATATCTCAGGATGAGTTTCATTCATTTTAAATGGGATTAGTAGCTGATGCATGCTCTCTGCTTGGCTACCTCCTCTTTCCCAGGTTAACCTGGGATTTTATGGTTGCTTTTTCCATTTACACGGAACTCTTTACAAATTAGAACAAATAAATAAAATAATAAAATAAAATAAAATAAAGGAAAATGGAACAGAGAGACTATTTAGGACTATTTAGGACACAGGAGAGTTTTCCTGTGTGTGTGGTCTGTGCCTTTTCAATCATAAGGGATCACCTTTCTCAGCTCAGATGTGGGCGGGGCTGTATGTGGGGCCTGAGCTGAGAGATCTCCGAGTACAGACAGTTGCCATTGTTTGCAGTGTTCTGGACTCTAGGACATCCAAGTAGCTCTGCCGGGGTGGAAGGAAGGTATGTGAGGCACACAGTCTCAGCCAGAATCCCACACCTGCTTTCATGGTGACAGCTGAGCAGAGACAAATGACACATCTATGATCGAGATGGGATAGTCCCTGCAACAGGTGAAATCCAACCTCCTGCCCTGGCCTCTGCTAGGAACTGCTTTTCTTCTGGCAAAGGGCAGGAAGCAGAGGTCCTTACCCACTGTGCTTCCAGAACATACCCTTGTCTGTGTGAGGTTCCCACACTTCCACACAGCTGCTGCTACCAGCTCTGAGGTGGACTTAAAAAAAAAATCTCAGCACATGTAGTTTGAGAAAAGAAAAGTCACCTCACACATCAGGGCACTGGAAAGGTACAGCAAGAAATTCATGATTCAGTCCCTCAGCATAAACCCACTGTATTACCTCTGCCATCAATGCCATTGAATCTCCCAGGGCCTCTCTGACCTCAGACTCACTAGCAAAGGAGGAAGGACATATGAGACCCCAGTGTTTGCAGTCTTCCCCTTCCTACCCAAGAAAGAGATGGTGAAAAATAAAAAGAGCTAGCTGCTCCATAAAGAGATAAGATTATCGGTCAATGTGCATCAATCATATGTTAGATAATATACAAAACAGTGCCACAGAGATCATGCTCAGATTTAACTACCGCCCTTCGCCCTTGAGTGGACCTGCATTGTGTGTGAGACAATCGGATCCCATGACGTCCTCTATGACCTACCTCTCTAATCTAATTTTCTACTGAAGCAACCTACAATCACAGCCCTGGGTGACTAAGTGCCTTTGGCCAGTGGTCCCTTCTGCCTGGAGCATTCTTCCAGTCCCCACCTGTCAAGCTGTTCTGCTCCTTTAAAAATTGAGCTCAACTACTACCTGACTAATATCTCATTTATTCCTTGAACAGATACCTATGGAGAGCTTACCACATGCCAGGCCGACTTGGAGGTGCTGGGTATTCAGCACCACACACATGCATGTGATGGTGGGGGTGGTTTGCATATATTCTGCAAGACTTTCAAAACCCCACAACTGCAGAATTGACTGTTTCTTGACTCAGTGTTTCTAATGCACTTTATTCCAGTATTTAACATACACTTCCTCAGGATTTCCAATGGGGCTATGTATAGATCTGCAACTCAATCTGGGGTCCCTGGAGTCTGCACCTTCACAGCCTCCCCGTGGACACATCTTGCACAGCATCTGTTTACTCAGTGTTTCCTGAGTTGACAGGAGACTCCACCCACAGAAGTCAGAATTTAATTCACCCCTGCGTCTGTTTTTCCCTCTTTGGCTTCCTCCCCCTATACCTTTCTCTCCTGGTTTTTACTCTTTGTTTACAACAGAGATTTTTATTAACATTCTCCTGAGATGGTATTCTCATAAATTAATTTCCTCTCTACTAATTACTTCTGAATTATCTTTCATCAAGCAACTGAAAAAAAAGTTGATGTCTTATGAAAACTCATTGGCAGAGAAAATAGAATATTAAAAGTGAGATGTTTTAAAAACATGTCCACAGGTTCTTAGCTATTTCCCTTTCCATGGTTGGTGGAGTTTTGTTCCCCTACCCTCTGCTTGAGCACAGGCTGCCCTTGGTGGCAGCTTCTAATGAGGAGAATATGGTGACAGTGTTGATGTGCCACCCCTGAGTGTGGGAGTTAAAGGTGTCCAGGCTTCCTCCTTGCTCTCTTGGTCACTCATTTTGAGGGAAGACAGCTGCCATGTCATAAGGACACTTAAGCAGCCCTAGAGAGAGGTCCACAAGGCATGGAGGCCAGGTCTCCTGCCCTCAGCATGTGGACCAGCTGTCTGAGAAGACCTCATCCCCACAGGGACAGTAGCCCCAGTGGACATCTTGACTGCAACCTCTGGAGAACCCTGTGCCAGAACCTACCAGAACCGCCAGGCTGAGCCACTCTTGGTTCCTGACACACAGAAACTACTAGATAAAAAAAAATGTATGTTTTTAAATCCTTACATTTTGAGGTAACTTATTAGGCAGCAATATAAACTGAGTGACTTCTGTTCTGTTCTATTGCTCACATTGAGGAAGCCAATTAACCTCTCTAGCCCTTCTCTGCAATTGGAAGGGGGCAGGGTCAGAAGACTGCATGGGGCGTCAGTTCTAAAACCCTCTGCTTTCTGAACAAAATGCTATTGAGAAGTAGTGAGCAGTAGCGTAGAGCAGTTTAGGACAGCTGTATGTAAAACAACTTGACCTCCTTGGCTCTTTCTTTTCTTTCTCAGTATTGAGGATTGAACCCAGGACCTCATACATGCTAGGCAAGCACTCTGTCACTGAACTGCATCCCTGGTTCTTTTTATGTTTTAGAGATAGGGTCTCACTAAATTGTCTAGGCTGGCCTCAAACGTGTGATCCTCCTGTCTCAGCCTCCTGAGTAGTTGGGATTACCATGGGTGCCCAGCTCTCCTGGACTATTTCTGCAGATTCAGTAAATAAGGGTCATTACTGATATGCAGAATGCAAGCTTCAAAGGGGGAGGTCACATTCAACTTAGAAGAAGATGCAGAAAAAGCCCTTGAGTGGAAAGGTTTATGCTCAGAAGAGCTTAGAGGAGATACAATCTTTTATGGATGCTTCATGGTTGACAAAATGTTTTCATTTATATCCTTTGTAACATTAGTCTTCACAATTTTCTATTTTCCATATAGGAAACTGAGGCTTAGAGAATTTGGGTAACTCATTCAAAGTCACACAGCTACTAATTTCTGGAATTGAGGACTGAATCACAAACTCTTGTTGCTAAATTCTACTTTTCATTACTTTCACCTGCCTCCCTGATAATCAATCAGCTTATTTTACAATGACTACATGTTTTATTAAGCAGGCCAATGGCACTGTCTGACAGATCTGAACCCTCTCCTATGAGAAGCTGCCCTGTTTATACAGCTGATGGGGCATGCCATGGGCAGCAACACCTGCTATGCATAGGTCTAGTCCCTGTGCCTGCAGGAGATTGGACTAGATTGGGCATCTGGCCTATGGAAAGCTATCTTAAAGACCATCAGTGACAAATGACATGGCCTGGGGTAAAAAGATGGGCTGGGCCAATTAATTCCCATCTGTCAAGAATGTGAACTAGAAAATAGCCAGAAAATGACATACTTACTTAGAGTGAGTAAATGTTTTTGTAGGGGTGGGGTGAGGGAGAAAGGGCAGAGGGGCCTCCATGGGCTTTAAGCAAGCCAAGGTTCGGAGGTGACAGAAACTCAGAATAAGCAGAGGCAATGAGAAGCAAAGGTATATGGAGAATGTGCAGAGGCTCGGTGGGGGGCAGGAAGAGGCAAGCTTGTGGGGGAACCCCAAGCAAGGGCCCTCTAGGCATTTTGGGTCTAGGAGGATCCTAGGACCCATGCTCCCCGGGGGCCAGACCTACTGTGGCTACAAGCAATCAATTTCTATGAGATTCCATCTTGCTCATCAATTTCTGGTAATCTTCACCCCTAACTCAAGCTATCTTGGGAGAGCTCTTTCCCTGGCAACTAAATGAATTTAACTAAAGCTGGCATAGCTGATGTAAAATTTCAAAAACCCAAACTGGGCAGTTATGAAATTCCAACGCTCATAGGGTTTTCTAAGGCAAAGTGCGGACACAAGAAGACATTGTGGACTCTGACAGTGAAGCAACAAAACCACTTCTGACACCAAAGGCTGCTTGTGTTTCACAGTGCTGAGACCCAACAGGGAGCTGCTCTACTCTCCTCCCCGCACTCCCCCCCGCCCCGGCCCCCATACACAAAGAATTGGCTGTGATGAAGGACTAACCAACTGTTTTTAAGAAACTGCTCCAAATGGTGCTAAAGGGGTGACAGTTCAGGGTAATCAAAAGGCCAATTAAAACACATATCAATCCTAAACTCTGCAGGGGTCTAACTGGCACACAGGGTACCAGCTTGTGAACCCCCAAAGTGTCATCTGTGATACACATAAACCAGAGCCTCATGGAAGGCTGCAATTTGCTAAATGGTGTCCCCTGAGTGGCCCCTGATCTGCAAAAAATTGACCTTCATAGCACCAGGGCAGAGAGATTCGGGGTCAAGAATTTCAGACGTAAAGTGAAGGCCCTGGATAGGATCCCCAGCTCTCAGCTTGGACAAGCAATTTCTGAGCCACAATAGGGCTGGGCTAAAAGACCTTCAAGGTCCATTTGTGTTCTAAAATTTTCTGTATGTGTGATTCAGTCTTACACACCCGTGCACAAAACTAGTTCTTCCACTAGCCATGCACTCTAGACAAAAGGTAACTATATCACAATGTCTAAAAAATCACAAATGAACCAAAATTCAGGATACATGGTTTGGCTCTAGGAGAGATTTTTTAAAAGCAGAATTGCTCCATTAAATACTGTATGTGGAGACCTAAGCACGCAACAACCCACGTATTTACTCTTCTAAAAGAGCCTAACTAGATGACTAAAAAATCAAAGGAAGTTCTTTCATTTCTTACCTTATGTACCCTTAAAATAAGATCAAATGTATAAAAATGTATACAACTTTTACTCTTGCTATTTTCTCCCTTCTTTCCTTTGAAAAGTATCTGGAAACCCTGGATTGTCTAACTTCTTTCTTGCAGGTCGTGTATAAAATCAAACCTGGCCACATCCTCTTCCTTATGCAGTATCTTGCTGCACTCTGGGGAAAGTATCTGTGTTCCCCTCCAGCCTGGCTTTGGGCCTCAGCCCTGCTGCCCGCTGGGGCCTCTGGCCCTGGTGGGTCTCAGGGAGAGCGATGGTTAGATGGTGGGAAAGTTATTCATGTAATTATTGTAGGTTCATCATTCCTAATGGAACATCATTTGATGTTATAAAAGCTTCCAGCCTTTTCTACTGCTTAGTTGGTGGAGGATTGGGAACTCTGTGGTCTATTTACCTCAGAGAAACAATGCATTTTGGAGAGATCTATCAGTGCCCAGAAAGCACAGAGAGCCTGATGCAAGAGAGAGGTTTGTGCTGCATTTTAATATCACTGAAACAGAGTGGTAAGTAGATTTTTTTTTTCCTAAAACCATTTTAGAATATTTCCTAAAATCCCCATCTGACTGCTTCCCCTGGCTCCTCTTCATCCAGGAGGCTAGGATCACACCCCCACAGGCCCATCTTTTTTGGCAGTGACGTGCCCAGCCATCAGGACCCACACAGACCTTAGTGGTGCTTTTAAAGGGACTCCACCAGTCCCTAAATGGCAGCAGAGGAGGAAAAGTGGGGGCAGCACTGGGCTAAGAGTCAAGAGTCTTGGAAGCCATCTGGTTGTGTCCCTAAGTGGATGGTGAACTTGGGCAAGCCACTGGGTCTTTCTGGACTATTTCCTCATCTATAAAATCAGGAAAAAGACCCCTAAAAGCATCTTTCACCTCTAATTTGGTGTTCTGATCCACAGCCTGCTCCTGGAAGAATCCCATAGTGGAGATGCTGAGGACTTGGAGTGTCAGTGGGGAGATGGGCTGCTCCAGCTACTCTGAGCTCTGTGGCTTTTGGGGACCCCACAG